CACCACTCGTCCCAGGTGTGTCAAGAATCACTCCGTAAGTTTCTCTGCTTTGCGGTGCCTTACAAACTTGTCTGATATTCATGACTTCTAGTGATTGTCACGGTAAACCTGCGTTTAGCGACCACCTGCTTTTCCTGATCGTTTTTCCATGCACGGACAGTTCTACACAGACACTGCATCGGGTATAGTGACCAGATGCCTTGCGCAACCAGCGACCAAATTTTAGTGTACCAAGTGCCATATTCAAACCTGCGTACAGCGACCAAAACTAATCAAAAGGTGCCATCTTGGCTGGCAGGGTTGATTGCAACATGGTTGAAGTGCGCTCTGAAGCAAGTGCATGCGGTCAACAGAAGTGAAAAGTGACAAAGCAGGATGCGCTGCATGCACTTGAGTGAGGTGTGCTTTGCCTGCACGAAAGTAGTCTATGCTCTACACCTGTCAATATGAGTACATGGAAGTAGAATCATGCACACGTATGTACACGATCCCGATCCAATATGCCACGAATGTATGAGACCTGGCTCCAAAGTGTCTTGTTGGACCTTTTTTGTTTTGTTTTAAAGTAAGAAAGTGTCTGGATTGTGTTCCGTATTGTCTGGATTCTTGCAGCCTCCAGCGCGGCACAGGTGATGGGTAACACATCCGTTAGCTCTGAAGCATCAACCACCCACACACCACAGCCTAACAACAACAACAACAACAACAACAACAACAACAACAACAACAACAACAACAACAACAACAACAACAACAACAACAACAACAACAACAACAACAACAACAACAACAACAACAACAACAACAACAACAACAACAACAACAACAACAACAACAACAACAACAACAACAACAACAACAACAACAACAACAACAACAACAACAACAACAACAACAACAACAACAACAACAACAACAACACCACCGTAGCACCAGCAGGAGCAGGAGGAAGTGAAACCAGCATGCCCATCATGTTCATCTCCGGCATCCTGCTCGCCGTGGTCATCATCAGCATCTTTATTGCCATGGTGATTTTCCGCCGGAGAAAATCCGCCCCTGGAAACGTCCGTGACACAGACACCATCAATCGTGAGTTCTGTGAAGTCATAGCTATGCTCAGGGGTGAAGGCAGGGGGCAAGGGAGGGGAGGGGGGGGGTCAGGTGTGAAGGCAGGGGGAGGGTGAGCGTCGGGGTGTGGGGTGGGTGGGGGGATTTCGGTGCCAAAGAATCCTCTAAAATATTTTGATCTTAGGTTGAGAAAGACAGGCCAACCATGGTACACAGACTGCAGGTTGTTTGTGAGACTCGTGACTCCACGTTAGCTGGCTATGTACTACAGTGCTACTCAATGAAATCCAGTCGCGTGCTTCAAGTACGCGCCGTGCGTTGCGCAGCCCCCAGATCTGCGAACACTGGGCTGCGAAAAGGTGCAAGGCGCAAACTTGAGTGACGCGACTGGATCTCACGCAGCAGGATTGTACATACCCAGTTTAGATCTGCCTGCTACATACATAGATATCTACCTGCTGACTTGAAACCAAACTACCTGCCATGCCTGCAGATTACATGTACTGTACCTGTGCAGTCACCCATTCATTCATCAATCCATCCCTTCATCCTCCATCCGTCCGTCTGTCCATCCACCCATCCATCCATTCATCCTTCCCTTCGTCCATCCATCCATTCATGCCTCCATCCGTTCGTCCATCCATCCAAGTATCCAACCATCCATCCATTCATCCATCCAAGTATCCATCCATTCATTCATTTATCCATCCAACCATCCATCCAACCATCCATCCAACCATCCATCTATTCATCCATCCATCCATCCATGAATCCATCCATCCATGAATTCATCCATTGGTACAGCAATCCACTCCTCCGTTCATCCGTCTTTCTGTCTGCCAGCCCGTCCATTTGCCTGTCAGTTTATAAGTCCACTTATCTGTCCTGCGTGTAGGTGCTAGTGTGATACAGGGTTTGTGTGTATGCATACGGGTATGTATGTACGTACGTACGCCATTCTGGGCATGCTGGATGTTGTCGCAGGAGGCGATGCGGCTCATGAGCAGACCTTCACAGCCCGGTCTAATGGGACACTGGCGCAGTTTCAGAGAGAGGACAAAAGTACGGACAGCCGGGAAACACGCGTGTCTATATGGGAGCGCATGAGAATCTCTTTGTTTGGCTCGGATGTGGGACTCTTCCCTAGCAGCAGTTCAGGGCGGGTTGAGATGGTCAATACTTTGGAGCGTGTGGAAAGCGGCTTTTCCGACGAGCAGCATCGAAGCGTGTCTTCTGTCTTTTCGTCGGGTTTCAGGCGTGTGTCGGTGTTCCCGAACGAGGTCAGTAGCAGCAACCAGTGGCTCTCAGAATGGGACTCGCTTCCCCCAGGCCACTGTGACACAGAGTACAGTTACCTGTCCACGCCGGCCGCGGAAGATCCAGTAGTGTACGGCAGTTGCACTTCGGTACTCAGCCATCAAATGCCAGGGAGCACATCAGCAACTTCTGCTGCTGCTGCTGTTGCTGCTGAATGCCATGCACCCTTGAAGCAGGCATATTCAGTTCTGGAAGGCCAACCACCACCGCCACCGCCGCCATCACCACCACCGCCGTGTAGAAACTCAACTGCGCGGGATACCACAACATGGCAACAGCAGCAGCAGCACCATGGTTCTGTGGAGTCCACCCAACCAACTGCAGAGAAAGGTGGCGCACTGCAGCAGCGAGCGACGACACTGCGCGCACATTCAGGAATCAAGGACACAGCCTCCTTGAAATCCCCAGTGGAGCGCGTGTACTCTACGCTGGAAGATGGCGTGGTCTCGGAGTGTTCCTCGTGCGCTGTGAGCATGTGTTTACCACTGGAAGGCACTGCCTGTTTGCCTTGCAGTTCAGTACAGCATCCCTATCCAGTGCTTGAACAACAACAATGTGTAGCACGGGAGTGCAACACTGGAGAAGCCGATTACATGTGTCCAGTGCGTGACGAGGATGCAGCGCGCCAATTCGATGCTGAATACATGTGTCCAGTGCGTGATGAGGATGCAGCGCGCCAATTCGACGCTGAATACACGTGTCTTGTGCTTCAACACACAGCAGCGCAGGACTGCGACACTTCCACTGGATATATGTGTCCTGTACTTCAAGACACAGCGGAGCTGGACCGCGACCTTCCCATTGAATACATGGCTCCCGTGCGTGAAGGTGCTGCAGCGCTGGACAGTCGCGACCCACCCAGTCAATACGTGTGTCCTGTGCGTGAAGGCATTGCAGCGCTGGACAGTAGCGACGCTTCCCATGACTACATGTGCCCTGAGTTGGATACGGTTGAAGCTCTGGACCCACCGGTCACTTTGGACCCTGCACAGAAAACATAACCTTTCTGCCAGCCAGTCTAAAAGTGGAGAACCGAGGAACATGACTTGATTGTGAGAATGCACATAACCTTCTCGACCACAATCAGCACTACTTGTAACGACCTTTTTCATGTCTAAATTGAAGATTGTCTCCGACCGTACGGAGTTGCTCTAGTAGCCGACACCTTCCAAAGCCTTATAGCTTACCTTTGTATCTTCCGAAACCAACGTAATTATTCACTTACAACGACACAAGCAGCACTGCTTCATCGGAGATACATAAGTTACGTCCACCACATACATGTACATGTAGATGTAAACATCATCAGTGCCATCGATTGGTTGCAGCCGCACCGTACAACTAGGTGCAGCATTGATCATCCATCAATCCATCCATCCATCCATCCATCAGGCCTTAAGTTAGCGCCTGGGAGTATCACCATGACTACCACATAATGCACACCGGTATATTGACTGGCTGCAAGTGGTGATGCGGGAGAATCTCTAGATCTACACTATCCGTCCTGGGCAATGCCGTGGCAGTGGACATCCTGCTTTATCCCGGACACAGACCGCATCACAGTAAATCTGGATTTGCACCACCCCATTTGCAAGAGTCAGTTCAACAATGTTCGTCCGTGTCAGCACACGGAGCCGGTCGAGAGCACCAATCTAGCACCCATTCTGACCCACAACCCAATCTCCTTAACATTGTCCTGAAGCAGTGATTGAGTGTGAGCCTGTGTTTCTTACACATCACGTTACAACCTTCAACATGTACGAATAGCCGTCACAGAGACAGGATCTTTATTGTGCAATGTCACAATAAGTGTGATTAGCGAGGCGGACATTGACCGTAACAATAAAACAGTATACACTCATATTTTAAAACCCAATTAGATAACCACCAGAACAACACATTACTATTGCCTAGCGGGATTGACGGTGACGGTGACGGTGATTCGGTCGGTGATTCGGTCGGTGATTCGGTCGGTGATTCGGTCGGTGATTCGGTCGGTGATTCTCGAAAAGAGTGACTACAGGTATTGCCTTAACTTAGGCTTAAGTTACAAACCGGTCATTTGCCGCTTTTGCTTGCTTGGCCTGCCGCATGCGTGTGGCGTCTAAAGATTACTTTGTTCGAATTCCCATAACTTTTTTTAAGGATTCTGTGGTGCGTTCATCTGAATCAACCCTCACTAATCTTGTATGAACACTTTCTGATTTCTGTTTGTTCCTTAAACACATAATATGCTGTACTGTGCCTTTACGCTCTAGCTGCTCCATAACTTGCTTCATCCAATGCCATTATTACCATCGCAGGATATTTCGACTATCTAGGCAACATTCGTGAAGTTGTTGTTGCCGTCCTCGTCGTTGTTGTTTCAAGTCTATATTATCATGTCGTCCAGTGGCCAATAAGAAGTATCTGTTTTCGTTGTCATTGTTGTCGTTGTTGTCAACGTATGTGTGACTGGTGTTGGAGGGGGGGGGGGAGGAGCTGAGATCAGCGATCAAGTGACCAGAACTACACAGTGATGTATTCTGGACACCAGCCCGGTCCGGTGTCTATGAAAGTCTCACCCTCACCGCCCCCCCCCCCCCCCTCCAGGTACCCCATGACAATCTCCAGGATAAAGAGCAACCATGATTTGTCTCTACCGCCAAAAAAAAAGATCAATTATGATGTGAGGATTCCAATACAACAACATGCATGGCAAAATAATAATATACAGCAGAGAAATGTTGGCTAACACACACCGGGAGAGATGGTGGTTTGCAGCTCAGACAGCGCTGTGTGGGAAGGGATGCATTTACCATCATTTACCCAGATGTGTCTGTTTACCACCATTTACTCGGGTGCGTTTTAACCACAATTCTTCCCTATCATGAGAGCATGGCCTCACAAACAGAAGAGATAGATAGAGAGAGAGAGAGAGAGAGAGAGAGAGAGAGAGAGAGAGAGATAGAGAGATAGAGAGATAGAGAGATAGAGAGATAGAGAGATAGAGAGATAGAGAGATAGAGAGAGATAGAGATGGAGAAAGAAAGAGAGAGAGAGAGAGATCATTCTCGATTTTTCTGTAATGTGACCTTCAAATAAACAGAAATGCCAGAGCCAAGATATCGCCTATACGTCCGAGCTTTTATAGAGATTCCGCTGGCCTGTTCATATCTAAAATTTAATCGCTTCCGTGAAAGCATGTGCAAAACCACTGGAAAGAACATTTAATTATGGATATTGTGTGGCACCGAGAAGGCGCCATACTGGATCACAGGACCAAGATGGGGACGTAGATTTGCATATGGGGTTAGGCAGTAAAAAGAGCAGTGTAGAGGAAGGTTGATGGCACGGTTAGGAAATGGACAGGAAATCGGATCGATGCAAACAACAGTGTGCACTGAGAATGTGTTGCAGGAATATATTAGATACAGGTAGTTAGGAGGGGAAAATGCACGGTTATACTCAATTAGGCTGAGCATTCCGCATCTGTAGGACTAGAAATGCCACCACCCTTCCGGATCAAAGGCGCAGATGCAGCTCCCAAAGCAGAGGGAAATCAGCCTGCATAACTATTACCGTAACGTGAGGCACTTCCGCTGGAGATTAATTTCGCCATTGACGCACCCATCTAACATTCGCAGATATAAATCACCGTGAACTGCTCTGTACAGTGATTGATAACAGTGCAAGAACCAATTGAAGAGGCAAAATCGAGAAAAGTCGTTTATGGTGATTGGTGAACCAGTACAATTGTTGAAAACGAAAAATGTACGTGCCATGAAAGCTTATCGCTTTAGTATAGGCGAGCAGGCATTTCCACGTCCTATAGCTTGATGTAGGCAATGCCAGGCGTGTACAGTCCGTTGCTATCCGAGTAGTTCACTATGGCGATGGCAGCCTTCGGCCCCCCGTGGAAGTGAATCTGGCCGCCGAACGCGAAAGGATTGATCTGCAGAAAGGAAGATAGAAGATGCATGTACAGACAACTAGATCTGAGCCTGTATTTCTGCATTCCAATTTTCATTTGTATAGCTGAAGTACTGAAGTTGAAGTTTGTTCAAGTAATGTAACATTACTGATGCCTAGGGACAGCTAGCCAAACATACACAGAGCAGCAGTCAAATACAGTAGTTGTCAGTTGATAAGCCACTCATTGCTTTCCGCACAGTTATGTAGAGAAGAAAGTTTCCAAAGCGGGGGTGCCTGGCTCAAGTATTGCTAGTTACACTCAGCTTTTTTTGACCTTGCCAACTCGCTCAGATGTATGGACTTTCAAGGGAGTCATGAGTTTTGAAGTCTTAAGAGCATGTTGAACACTCGGGTTGGGCTCTGCTGGAAAAGCAATGCGACCATAACGCAGTGGCAGAGTATCTTTGCTCTTAAGTGTTAGGGCTGAAACGAACATAAAATTTGAGTATTCAAACGTTCTTGATGTTAACGAACGAACGAACATTCTCTAACATTCTCGTCGCACGCGCGTGCTCGTGCACGAACCGGCATAGGCAAGAAAATAGTGGAATTTTTGAATACAGTATAGCAATAAACTTTTGTGGCGCACACATTTTGCGTTTTCATGAATGCGGCTGGTTTGTGATGAGAATTTTTTTTCGATTTTTACCTTTTTTGAATCTTGTAGTTGTGCTGTCTACAATGCACGTACTGCAGTTTGTGGCGATTTTTCTTCTCCAGAATGCGCAATGGCCGCGAAAGTAGCGAAATTGTATCACTTGCGAAAGTTTCTAACTTTACAGTACGTCTTTTATGATGCTTTCAAAAGTTGAGGCACAATGGCCTCCAACTGAACAACGCCATACTGCCACTGCTGAGGACCAGAACGTTGCGTCACAGCAACGTTTGTCATCAACTTGCTTCCTGTTCAGTGTTGATGCCGTAGAAATAACTGCACTCCCAGAGACGACAGAAGAATGCTGAAAGTTACCGTAGTTGTGTTTTCAGGTGCGCATAGAGGTTGCTCGCCGTTTTGCCATACTATAAACATACGCTGCGGGAAATCCTGCAGGTAGCTGACTTCTCATCCCCGGATTTTGTAAAATGATCCCAAACAACAGAACGGGGAGCACGACCAAAAACAGTTTCTGACATGGGAACAGTGCAAACTCGAAACAAAAGAAAACTACGAAGTAGTCAAAGGAAGAGCGAGCAGCCAAAATATGTAAGTACATGTACGAGTACTCGTGCTTTGTTTCGATGTTCGTCTACATGTCGTCGCCCCGACTCCAGCCAAGTGCCGGTTCAGATCGTGAACCGCGCGCGCGCGGGGGTCGTGTACCACCTGGCGCAGCGCTGGTCACAAGCACGCAGCTACACATATTCTACAGGCGGTGTGTGAAACGATCGTGACTGATCGTGATGTTTTTACGGGTTTATCGTACCGTACGCACATTTTCAAAGTTCGAATGTTCGTGAGAACTACGAATGTTCGTTCGCTGTGGCCTAACGAACGAATAGTCGAATGTTCGGTATATTCGTTTCACCCCTATTAAGTGTTGGTGTCTAGCTCTAGCATGGTGACAGTCAATTATACTTCGTCCTTTTGTCTCCTTCAGAACTCCCCTGAACTTATGAATACTTATGCTTATAGTAATCATAATTAATCGGTGGGGAATAGGCGGACATACATAGTTTCGAGAACCCACTCAAATGTTGCGCAGCCTCCCTTTCTCCACCTCTCAATCCGCGCCCAGTCCCCCACCCCACACACATGGACACCACAATATGTACACGCATAAACATGCATACCGATAGAACAATGTTTCGCTTACCCCTAGATTGGTCGGCGTGGGAATAGACACGGGCTCCGCTTCGGCTCTCAGGTACGGCCATGAGAAGCGATTGATGACCAGACGCCATTGTTGCCAGGACGACGGATCCGGAATGCGCTGCATTGCCAGAATCTCGTGATAGGGATCCTTCTTCTCCTGATCCATCCAGTGTATGAACAGACTTTCCCAGGTTCCGTTGAGAGCACGACCGATCTGCAGCGTAAACGTAGCACAGTAAAACCTGTCAAGGAGACCACCTGTACCAGAAAACCACCTGTTCCGGAAGACCACCTGTACCAGAGGACCACCTGTCCCGGATGACCGCCTGTCCCAGAAAACCACTTGTCCCAGAAGACCACTTGTCCCAGAAGACCACCTGTCCCAGAAGACCACCTGTCCCAGAAGACCAATCAGGTCCAAGGGATGCAATATTCAGTCAAATGGCCCTGGATAAGGAGACCACCTGGTAACGGAGACCCTGTTTTGAGGATTACTTCAGTCGTCGCCTTAGACAGGTTTCACTGTACTTGTGAACCTGTTAAGGCAACCACCTCACCCAGAAGACCACTGCAACCATGACCAAGGTATGCTACTTCCAGTCAAATGACCCTGGATAAGGAGACCACCTGGTAATAGAGACCATGTTTTGAAGGTCCTTGGAGCGGTCGTCTTAGACAGGTTTCTCTGTAAAGACGATGAGCTGATTGACATTTGGTTACTGTATTCGACATAATTGATGACAATGAATAGAAATAATGTGCAACATTGTACGAGACAAAGAGAACGGATTGAGAAAGAAAAATCATGTTCTGTTCGTAGTCACATTTTTCGATGTGCGTAGGCTTCACTGCACCCAATTGGTCATGTCTCAATCTCCGTCTTCACCATTGTTCGTTGTCACATGTCCAATAAAGTGACCAATGTCAATTCAGCTTATCCTCTTCATCGCGGTTCTTAAATTGTTGTCTCCCCAGGCGCTTGCTCCACACAATAATGCCATTTTAGTTTTTTTTTAATTAAAAAAACCGTGGACAGCCTAGTTGCACGCTGGACACCATTATACATTTCTTAATTTTTTACTGACGTCACAACATACTCGTCAGAAGAGGGAGGGGGGGGGAAGTAACAGGACAACACAACAATGGGAAGAGTAGGGGCTGCAGGACGGAACCAGTGCTGCTGAGCCATGCCAGCGACTCCGGCCTGTGATCTTGGCATCACGGCGAGCTTGCTCGCCATTGGGCTAAAAGAGCTAGATACGATGGAAACTACAGTGCTGGCAACTGAAATCCGGCCGCCTGAGCGGTGCGCTCACATCGCAAAGACCCGAAATAGAGGCCGCTAGAAAGTGAACGCGCCGCCCAGGTGGTCGGATTTCAGTTGCCAGCACTGTACGATCGAAATGTATGTATATGTACCTGTAAGTCGATGTTGAGATCTGAGCTGGTAGCGACAGTGAGACCATTGCTGAGGAAGATCCGGGTCTGGTCGTAGCTGAGCCAGGCACGGCTCGGTGCGTAGAAGGCTCCGTAATTCATGTATTTAGTGCGGACGTACTCTGCGCACCTGTAATCACGTACAACATGCACACACACACACACGATGTGCACGCACGCATTCGAACACACACACACATGCACACACACACAAACATACGCACACACACACACACACACACACACACACACACACACACACAAGAATATACACATGTACACACACCCATGTAAAAGCGCATGCGTGCGCACACACGCACACACACATACACACACACAAGACGAATAAGCTGTTGACCGTGCCCTGGGACTCGTGTCATATTCTGTGCTGATCGAGGTATAGGTTGAGCAATGATCGATCCACTCAGCAACACATTGTAACAACATGCATTTCATTCCAATGTGGGTGATTACTTCACACTGAGGTTGTTTGCAGATAGGTAGCAACACAGCTGTGGTAGTCCCATGGTGTAAGCCCAGGAGAAACGCATCTTCAAATTGGAACCATTCGAAGCTGGAACATTGACATCCTCTGTGTTGTATGCAACCATAGTAATTGACTCGCTGTCCCGATAAGGTTTCGATCCGCAAAACATATGGAACCAGCAGAATACAGTAAATATCGGATATAACGTGCCCCTTTGATTTTCGAAAATTTATCACTATATCCGGTGCATCACTATAGCCGATTTGCATGTTTGACCGACACATGGCACATGACTGCACATGAAATGATGCGTACACGCTGGAAAAAGCATGCTGAAAGTGCATGCATGCTCCGCGGACTGTGTACCGGTGCATGACACAGAGCAGTGCATGGCGGTGCAGTACGAGTACAGACTGTACATGTACTAGAACTTCGATACGTCATCATGTGGCATGGCTGCTTCTTCAGCGTGGTCTCCAAAAAAAGCCTGAGCTGGATCCGTACTCACGTAGATCTACTCGGTGTCCAACGAGTTGCGTAGAGCCAGAAAGAGACAAGAGTGGTTGTGTACGTGAGTTGGCAACATCATCGTGAGAGGCAACACAGCCAGAAACGGACAAGAGCATGCAGAAAGATACAGAAAAGGACAAGACCATACAAAGGGAGCGAGGGGTAGCGCAGCCAGAAAAGGACATGTGCATACAGAAACGGACAAGAGCATACAAAGGGAGCACATTGCGAGGGGTAGCACAGCCAGAAACGGACATGTGTGATCATCACTCTTGATCATTTTATGAGATATTTTCCTGTACATTTGATATGGTTTGCTTCCTGAAGTCCATCACAATAAGCGATATATCGGTATAGCCGATAATAGTGTATATAGTGATATTTTAGCTGTATTTTTTCTGATTTGATTTTGACGTGTTCTATCACTATAACCGGTATATCATTATATCCGGTCACTTTATAAACGATACTTACTGTACATGTGAGAGGGGGTGGGAGTACTAGGATATTTGCATCTCTAATA